CTTGACATATTGCTCTTAGTTTTCTTCTAAAAGTTTTGTGCTTTCAGTTTCAGGCCTTCTTTTTATGCTTTTGATATATTTTGAGTTGATTTTTCTATAGGGTGAGAGACAGGAGTTAACTTTCGATCTTCTGCACATGGATATCCTGTTTTTCCAGTACCATTTATTAAAGAGTTTATCTTATCTCCAATGTATGTTTTTGTGTCTTTGCAGAGAATCAATTGATTATAGATGCATCATTTTTTTCTGATGTTTCTATTCTGTTTCACTGGTCTGTGTGTCAGGTTTTATGCCAGTACCATGCTGTTATGGTTACTATAGCCCTGCAATATGTCTTGAGATCAGATATTGTGATGCCTTACTTTTATCTTTTCTGCTCAAGGTTGCTTTGGCTATCTTTTGGGGTCTTTTGCTCTTTGATATAAATTTTAGGATTATTTTTTCCTTTTCTGTGAAGAATGTTATTGGTATTTTGGTGGGAATGCATTGAATCTAGTAGTAATGTGGACATTTTAACAATATTCTTTTTTTTTTGTACTGGGAATTGAACTCCGGACCTCACGCTTGCCAGACAGGTGCTGCACCACTGAGCTACATCCACAGCCCAGCAATATTCTTTCAATCCACGAACACGGAGGGTCTTTTAATTTTTTGGTGTCTTCAATTTCTTTCACCAATGTTCCTTGTTTAAAGTTATTTTTAGGTATCTTATTTTTTTGTAGCTATTCTGAGTGGTATTGCTTTCTTGTTTTCTTTCTTTAAAAGTTTGAAAAAAAAATCAAAGGGCCAGGGATTTAGCTCAGTGGTTCCGCTGCCTGCCTCACAAGTGCAAGGTCCCGAGTTCGATCCCCAGTACCAAAAAAAGAAAAAGTTTATTCTTTTCATATAAAAATACTACAAAAATTTTTATGTTGATTTTGTATCCTGTAACTTTACCAAATTAACTTATCATTTCTATCAGTATTTTCTGGTGTCTTCAGGTTTTCCAAATATAAAATCATATGGTCTGTAAACAGGGATAATTTGACTTTCTCCCTTTCAATTTGTATGTCTTTTATTTCTTTTCTTTACATTATTGCTCTGGGTAAGACTTCCTATGTTGAACAAGAGTGGTGAAAGTAGACATCTTTATCATATTTTAGCTTAGAGGAAATGTTTTTATCTTTTTTCCATCAGTGAGATGCTGGCTATGGGTTTGTCATATATAACCTTTGTGATGTTGAAGTATACTCCTCATATACCTAATTAATTGATTTTTTTAAAATCACGAAACAATATTTTTTATCAAATACCTTTTTTCCATATGCTGAGTTATTGAAATGATGGCATGGTTTTTGTCCATCATTCTGCTGTTGATTTGCATATGCTGAACCATCCATGTATCCTGGAATAAATTTCATTTGATCATGGTATGTGATCTTTTTGATGTGAAGTTGGATCGGGTTTGATAGTGTGCTGTTAAGAAAATTTTCATCCATGTTTATCAGGGATATTGATCTCTAGTTTTCTTTTTTTGTTGAGTCCTTACCTGGTTTTGATATCAATATAATGCTGGCTCCATAGAATGAATTTGGAAGGGTTACCTCCCTTGGAATTATATCAAAAGTTGGCTGCATACCTTCTGGAATCTGAAAGCATGCAAGAGAAAAATACTTATTTACTCTGTTTATAACTAGAAATCCCTGTGCTGAGATATTGCATTAGCAATGGATATATGAAGTTATTTGGTCACATTTTCAGAGGTGCACACTTTTCACTACCAGTTTAGGACCTGTCAAGCAAGAACTGACCAGTGGAAAGAAGAGCATTTCATGCAGAAAGTATACAACAGTGAAAGCTCCACTTCCTGTCAGAGTCCAATTTGCTTGGCTTACAGTTGTCTAAGGGAAGGTGGGTCTGAGGGCTCACAGTCTACTGTTTTTTTTTTTTTTCCTGTATAGGAAACGCTGATGTATTGCAAGTTCTTGGTACTCATTGAGGAAAATGATCCTTTTTTATTTGTATCCTTATCTTCTTCCTTTTTCACCTATATGATATATTTTGCAATAACTTTTGAAATATAAAGAAATACTTTTGACTCTTGTCCTTTCAGATCTTAGAGTCCACTGGAAAAAACAAATCATAATCACTTAAGAAAATAAAATTAGGAAGCTGGGAGTGGTGGGGCATACCTGTAATCCCAGCACTCAGGAGGCTAAAACAGGAGGATGGCTACAAGATTGAGGCCAGTGTGGGCTACATAGTGAGTTCAAGGATAGCCTACATAGTGAGACCTTGTCTCAAAAAGCAAAACCACACAACAACAACAAAAAAATAAAGTTAGAGTAGGGAAAACATGGTTTCTGATCTCCTTCCTATTTCCTTCAGCAATGGGCCCTAGTACCTTCCTCATGATGGGTAGACACTTATGCCTTCTGTTAATTGATGTCTCCCTGATCTCTAGAACAGGGCCACATACTGTTTTTGCTGCTTTTGTAGAATAATTTTTTTTTTAAGTTGCATCAAATGAAAGGACTATACTCAGCCTCAGTATCTGTGGAAGATTGGTTCCAGAAGCCCCAAATAGTACCAAAATCTATGGATGCTCAAGTCTCTTTGTATAAAATGACAGAGTGTTTGCACATAACTTATATATATCCCCTCATAGGCTTTAAGTCATCTCTAGATAACTTAAAATATCAAAACAATATAAATTCTGTGTAAATAGTTCTTATACTGTATTGCTTAGGGGATAATGACAAGAAAGAAAGTCTATGCATACTTAGTAGAGATGCAATATTTTTGTGTTTTTGGAGTATTTTCAATTGAGACTGTATGACTTCGTAGATGCACAATCTGCAGATAAGGAGAGCCAACTGTATTTGGCATGAATCTATTGCAATTTGCTGGTCTTAAAAATAATTAATAAGTTTATTGGTACATTTTAGGTATACATAATGATCATAGGGAATTTGTACCTGTACATGATATATCTTGATTCTTATTTTTTCCCATTCCCCTACCCTCCTTTCAATCCCTCTTCCCTTCCTTTATTTACAAAAGCTTTTGTAATTTGCTGTTTGTATGTTACTACACTGTGGTTTGTGGTATTGATATTATTGGAACTGTTTTGGTTTGTTTCTGTTCCTACTGTCTTGAGAGATGCTTTGCTTGAATTATACTTTTTCTCTTTTTATAATTGATAAGTAAAAATTTGATAAATATATATTATACAGCATGTTTCTATATTCATATATTGTACAATAATGAAGCTATTTCACATGTGTATTACGTCACATACTTATTTGTGGCAAGAACATTTAAAATCCAATCTTAGCAGTTTTAGAGTACTGAATTACACTTTTTCTTTTGCCTGACACTGTTATGGAAGAACTGAAAGGGAAGTGAAAAAGAAGATAAATGAGTAATTGTCAATTCACGCCATTTGCTAGTCATTTTATACAAATAATTTTATTAACTTATTAATTTTCACATATCCATCTTAATCCAAAGAGAATTAAAAATGCACATAAAAATTTAAAGAAGGCAAACCCATTAGAGAATTAGAGGGAAAGATAATTAAGGTTAGAAAATAAGGGGAATCAGTGGAATTTGCTGTACAAAATGGCTGCCTGGAGAACTTCGTGTACTCATAGAAGTGATTACAAATCAGATTTGGGGCTCGGGCCTTTCAACTTCTAGTTCAAAGAAGGAAACATGAGGTGTTACATGAAATCTATTAATGAGAAGCAGCTCTGCTAATTCTGGAACTTGAAGGAAAATTCTTCTATGAGTCTTCATAAGGAAGATTGTGAAATATTTTCTTCTAGTGGCAGTGAAAAGGGATGATATCCTTTTAAGAAAAAGTGAGGGGGCTGGAGATTTAGCTCAGTGGCACTGCGCCTGCCTTGCAAGCGCAAGGCCCTGAGTTCAATCCTCGGTACCAAAAAAAGAAAAAGTGAGGCGTCAGATGAGATCCACTGCTGCCTGGAAAGGAGCTGAGGTTGTACCTATTGGTGGAACGAAGTTGTCATCTTCATCCTCTAAACGCTGTGTCTCAAGTGAACTTCCTAATGTTAGCTATTCCTTTCAAATTATAGCATGCCGTTATTGTATATGTTTACCGTTTATTCTTCAAGGAGATTATAATCTGTGTGAAGACAGGGGTTATAGTTACCTTATTTATTCTTACATCTCCACATAGCACAAAGTCTGGTTTATATTAGGCACTCAGTAAATATTTATTGAATGAAGGAAAGAATGGAAAGAACTGGTGGTAAAGTGTACTCTGAGGGAACTGAATTAGTTATCCTGAAGAAAGGAAGCTTTTATAAGCCTGGTTGCACTATTTAGCTAGCAATAAGAATATTTGGAGTTTGCTAAAATTATTGATCTTGGAACAGCCAATAGAAGACATTCTTGTTAATGACCAGGTAGCATCATTTGGCCAGATGTCTGTGGAGTTGACCCCACATGAGAAACATTCAGAGCAGGCTTTATAATTCATATCTCACCAATGAGGGAACAAAAGCTCAGAGAAGTTAAATTAAGGGCTTTGTCTCTACTTTACTAAAAAAATAGTGATAAAAATCTTCTTTCTTGAACAGCTGTCCATCTTTTTTTTTGGTACCAGGGATCGAACTCAGGTCCTTATGCTTGCGAGGCAGGCAGCAGAACCACTGAGCTAAATCCTCAACCCTATGATAAAAATCTTAATCATGACTTTTTCATGAGCTCATCATGTAATTTGGCTGTGATAGCCACCTTGGCATACAGTAGTTAAATATTAATTTTTCGGCAATAATCCAGGTGTTTGTGGAAAGTAGTTACATGGGTAACTTTTGCTTGCTTCATTTTCACATGTGGATTTCTGTCATTCATTTTTTTTTTTTTTTTGTACCTGGAATTGAACTCCGGTACTTGTGCTTGTGCAGCAGGAGATTTCTGTCATTCTTGATGAGAGAATGCATGAATTCTTTCCTGTAGTGGATGACTAAGGGCTCTGTCTTCCCACCTTGCAGAGACACAGAGTACAAGGGGCTGCAGCTCTCCCTGGATCAGATCTCAGCATCCAAACCAGCCTTCTCCTATGCTAGCAGCTCCACCCCCACTCTAACTGATAACAGGAAGGGGTCCAAGTCAAGGCTGTCCAGTTCAAAGTCAAAATCCAGGACTTCCCCTTACCCTCAGGTAAGTGTGTTGCTGTTTCATTTTTTGTGACCTGGTTTGATCTTGAAGTTAAAGAAGTATTAAAACTGTTTGGAATTAATTGTCTGGTTTTAATAAATTGAAAATGTCTATAAATGTGATTTCTAAACTATCTTCTTCCTTTTAAGTAACTGTGCTAGTAAAAAATTGAAATGAGTTTGTGGTTTGGTGCATTTATAGAAAGTTCATGAGAGTCTAGCTGTCAGAACCAGAATTTGTTATTTCAGGGACATTTATCCTAAAATTGTCTTCTAGAATGATTAACCAGAAAGGTGTAGCCAACATAAAAAAAATATAGACTCTTAAAAAGAGAGTGGCTATCTCACCTCCATCTTTTTCTTTTCTTTAAAACAGGGCCTCATATCCAGTTCAGACTGGCCTTAAACTCATGTAACCCAGGCTGTCCTTGAACCTGTAGCAATCTTCTTGTCTCAGCCTCCCGAGTGCTGGGATTACAGCCACCACCCTGGCCTTTCCCTTTTCTTAGCCATTGCCGTAGCCAACTATCTGCAGCTCACTGGAGTAACAAGGAAGATGACTCCTGTGGTACTACAAAACCAAAATTTCTTCTGAGTCATTTATCAAGGTTGTCTTTATTATGTTTCAATTTTAAGCAAAAAGGCAATCTAATAGGTATAAAAATGATAATTTCCTTATCTGTCAGATCTATATTATTATGCTGATATCTTCAAATGTGTACTATTTGAGGAAACATCATTCATTGACCCAATGCTCACTAAAAAGCTATTATTTGCTAGATTATTTTATTGTCTTGATATCTGAAGGGGAGAAGACTATGAGCTCTGTCTCCAAAAGACTTAGATCATATAGCTTTGAAGTCTTCCACAGAAGACCAGCTTTCCTTACTTTGAAAAAGAGAAGAGAATAATTGTGTGAAGCCTAGATGTATATCAGTGTGCAACTTCTGTTAGGAGTGCTGAGCACTTTTGTTAAGAAGTACAGTGTAGGGGCTGGGATTTAGCTCAGTGGTTCCGCCACCTGCCCTGCAAGCTCAAGGACCTGAGTTTGATCCCTGGTACCAAAAAAAAAAAAAAGAAGTACACAGTGTAGTCAAAATCACTGCCGACGGGCAGCTGCTTCCTTCTAGAGAACATCTAATGAGATGCTTTTCTTATTATTGTCTTGTACCTTGGGAAGAGTTTTACTGTCTCTTTTTACTACTTGGAAGGATGGATTGTGCCTTTGGGTAGTTCTGTCCTTAAGTATATAGCAGTGTTGGACACATACATGAAAGAAGAATTTAAATTAGGAAATACTAAGTTAAGAAGGAGTTTGTCCTTTGTTTTACAGAAATTAAGCCATAAAAACAAAATCCTTGTTGGACCTCCAAAACCTCATTGTTTAGTCTGTGTTTTCTTTCATGCTCTGCTCTTAACATCTAAAATTTCTATTAGTCCAGTCTAACAGTAAATGAATCATCTAAAAATGTTTTAACTTTCATTAGACTACTCTAATATGTGTGTGGAGTTAATTTGAATGTTACATATGTTTTATAGTACAAAAATACTACGCAAGAGTGGAAAGTAGAAAAAAATCCTTTCTCATTTTTCTTTTCCAGAATTTTACTCTCTTCTGCAGTGTTCTATCATGTATAAAAAACACACAAATATACATATATGTTCACATAGGATTTCTCTTAAAGTTTGTGTATTCATTTTTGTGGTTAAGACATGTAAATGCAGACTTTTGACTATGCGCCTAATTCGAATTAGCACAGTGATAGGTTGAATTTACTTAACATTTATTTCTGTAGTAAAGGTTGTTCTTTAATTGTGTTTACTTTAGATAGTCATGGTATTAGATCAATCAGATAGAAATGGAGCACACTCTCTTTACACCTGAGGAGCTATTGGTCTAGACAGACAGGTGAACAGGTATTTGCCATGAAATGTTATGGTGAGAGACGATAGTCTGGAGGTTCGTTGGAAATGAATGTCATCTAGAGCAAACTCAGGACTATTGCTACTGGAAGAAGACAACTTAGAAATACATCCACATTTTGTTCCAAATCCTCAGAAATTTTATTTTATTTTTTAAGTTTTTTTATTGATACATTTTAGGTATACAATTCGTTTACATTTATCATTGGGTGTTTGTACCTGTACATGATATATCTTGGTTCTTATTTTTTTTTCCCCCATTACCTGTGCACCCTTCACCCTCTCCGCCCTTCCCTATTTACATAGATTTCATTTCCATTTAGAAATTTTAAAGAAAATCATTAGTTTCTCCAAACATTTTTGATTCAAATTGTCCTTAATGTCATTAAAGAGAAGCTAATTCTTAATTTTCATTGCTCTCGTATGCCTTTGACTCAGCAGATGTTAAAGGAGTATCTGCTTTCGAAAGATGCTAGTACTGTCACTGTGGGAACTGGGGGTATGGGTTAGATACATAGTGTTAGAATATAAATATGTGGAATAAAGACTGTCCAGGTTTTGCAGTACAGTTAAAGTGGGAAATCATACAGTAGAATAAGTACGGTATAAGGGATGATAGCTACAAAGGACTTTGTGTATGATATCAGTGTCACGGACTATGGCCTGGCTAAAGAAAGGGTATATAACTTGGCTTTGAGGTTAGGATTCGAGCATGTGGGAAGAAGGGAAAGGAGCAGGACCTTCAGGAAGATTAAAATTTTAAGGGAATGCAGGAACTCATTGACTGGGCCTGGGAGTGAAGTGGGGGAAGGTTGGTCTCTCTGAATGAGAAATAGCAGTGATGAGTTTGGAAATAAATTGGTGCCAAATACATGCCAGGCCAAGGAGTTTAGAGTTTATCTTGTACAGAACTAATAAAGAGTTGAACATTAAAATAGTTGAGGAAGGGAAAACTATTTAGAGAACTAATTTTAATAGTTTCAGTGTGAGTGTATAAAGAACTAAACTAAAGTTTTCTACTAATTTAAAAGATACTGTATGAAGAATAGATAAGATTCTTTTTATCCTTGCCTTCTGGTACTTCTTGTTATAGATATATTTTGATTATTATAGATTTACTTCAAAATTATACTTTTAAAGCTTCCTTCAGTGAAGGAAACTTTGAATTCTGCCCTATATAGACTCATAATATTTTCCTTTTTAGTGATGGAACGGTGATGGTTTTAATTGTATTTCATTTTAAATACTTCTGGCCATTTTTCCAAAGTAGTCTTTTTTGTTATTTACATATTTACATATTTTAACATATAAATTCTAATCAGATTCTTCAAAAGGAAGTTTCCAGACTAAAATTAATCTCATAGAGTAACATCTTATGGCCCTTATTAGTTAAGTAAATTGTGATTTAATAATTCTATCAATATTATTTATTGGGCTCTTTGTTCTATTATATTTTCAGTATATATAGAAATTTCTAACAGATGTTTGATGAATGACAAACATCACCATTTTTTGGAATTATTTAGGTACCCTTATATGAACATTCAAGACAAGTACAAATTATAATTCACTATCATCTCCCAGTTTTTCTGGAGTAGTAGATGAACTATTAGATCCCTTCCTGGTATGAGATATCTTTGGGAATGTTTTTAGACTTGATTATATTATAGCCACTTAATGAATAACTCAATAACCTTGTACTTCTTTTATTGCTACTGGGGATTGAATTCAGGACTTTGTGCTTGCGGGGCGGGTGGCGGCACCACTGAGCTAAATCCCCGGCCCTTCTATGTATTATTTGGGATGGGAGAGGTCAAAACAGAATTGTATTGAATGGTTTTGGAAGAATTGTTATAAGAAATATTATAATTAATTCCCAAAGATTTTGCACATAGCTACTGGGCTGCTGCACAGCAGAAATCTTACCATTATGGCAGTTGTATTTTGTTGCTATTGGATTTTTTTTTCATGAAAATGGCAACATTATTTTTTCATAGGTCTATTGAATTAGAACTACTGTGTATACAGAATTTGGTTTTTCAACCTTATCTGTTTGAGATTGCTATCCTATTTTCAACATATTTTTATGTAACTAGTCATGGCACTCAAATACCAGTTGGAAGTTATTTTGGTATGTTTTAATCAGGTAAATCATGAACAAATTGCTTCCTGATTCTGGAGTTTCCATCTAAGACTTCTTACGTTGACATGTTTATAGTTACATTTAACAGAGACAGTGCATGCCACTCCACTATGTTGCATCCTCCTGCCCTTCTCTAGCCTTTCCTACTATTCAGCAGTAATCTGTATACTGTAGTGTCCCCTATTAACAGTCTATAAATAAGACTGTACATGCTTATGAAACCTGAAAGTAATTACTACTGATACACTGTAACACTTGCATGTTTTATTCCACATCTATTATCTTAAAGAATCTTACAGAACCCTCTAAATTTTCATTGCCACTAGTCTGGCTTCCTTTAGGTGAAGCTACAAACTCTTTCTACAAAGGTTCTTTCTGGCCTCCAAAATACAACAGTGAAGATTACACTGAGAACTTGATTTTCTAAGTTGCAGAGAAAAGAAGGACCAATAATTTCACAAACATAGTTCTACCTTTATACATTGTATTTTACTATGATTACTGTAATTATCCCTCCATTTCATGTATTATATATAACATAGAAACATGCAACCTTTGACCATAAATAACAAAAATACAACATTTTTGCATTTTGCAAAAAAACCACATTTTGCCAGGAAGTCTTTTAATATATAGGCTTTAAAAAACATTTTATGTCCCTGTATAAATTTGGGATGAATCTCTTTCCAATAGAAATATCAGATTAGCAGAGCAGGTAATTTTTAGATCTTCTGAATATTATTTCAGTAAAAATTGTCCTCAGTATGTTGAGACCTTTATGTTTCGGCTTTGTGCTCTCTCTCTCTCTCTCTTCCTTTCTTTTTCCTCCCTCCCTCCCTCCTTCCTTCCTTCCTTTCTTTCTTTCTTTCTTTCTTTCTTTCTTTCTTTCTTTCTTTCTTTCTTTCTTTCTTTCTTTCTTTTTCTTCTTTCTTTTGAAA